TATAGAGAAATGATGGGAGTTGTGGTTCAACAACATAAATTACTAATGGAGCTTGCTCATAGAGGAATGATGACAGTTGCAGTCCAACAATGTCAACTCCCAGTGGACCTTGCTTATTGAGGAATGATGGGAGTTGCAGTCCAACAGTGTCAACTCCCAGTGGACATTGCTCATTGAGAAGTGATGGGAGTTGCAGTCCAACAATGTCAAATCTTAATGGAAATTGCCCATAAAGTGAATGGTAGGGAATATTTTATTTACGATTTCGTAACGATATTAGAAATTAACGAGCTGGATCAACCAAGCTTACCAAGTAGGAAGCCCGATCTTTTGACATGTAAGTCCTCCTGTTTTGAATGCCGAATGCACACAGTGATCCTCCCAGTAGGGAAAAGGTCCAATTCCCATTCCATTTTGGACCAGCCAAGCCTCTGCAATGCACTTTATGGACTTTGTGTGAATTGCACTGTCTCGCTCTCGTTGTACAATACTATACATTCATCTGTGAAGAGTATTTTATTTTTCTTACTGTACATAAGATGTTTGTGATGGGTTCGAGATGAGATTGAGAATTATTTTCGACAGATTTACAAGAACCAAACGGAGATGTTCCATTCTGGGGGGTCGATTTCCCCCCCAGGTTTCGTGCCAAAAGTGTTGTTGCTTCTCTCCTACTTTGGATAAACGGTCACTGACGAAACGGCTTCGATTCCTGTCTTTTGTTACAAAGCTCACATTAGGGAGTAACGTGGTTTCCATGTCAGTGGGGAAGGGAATCCGCTCCGGGTTTTCAAGGAACCAACCCATAGCCCTGCAATACGTTTATTTACAACTTGATTGCAAACTTTGACCCCATATCTATGAACTTACCATGGAAATCGAAAACCGTGGTGAAATTTCATTGACATTTCCCATAGGGGAATGATGGGAGTTGCAATCCAACAATGCCAGCTCCCAATGGACATCATAGAGCCTTGCAAAAAAAAAAAATCCTAGAGAGATACCTTCCAAAACAGTGCATACATTCTGAATTGCAGGTACAATCGTGCCCTGAAACAGCCAAGAGTTGCCAAACTCTTTGATCAGATGTGGAATTATGCAACTACCAATGGCCCCCTTGCCCATAGAGTTAGTGGTGAGGAATGCTAGGAGTTGCAGTCCAACAATGTCAACTCCCAATGAACATTGCTTATTGTGGGATGATGGAATTTGCAGTGCAACAATGTCAATTCCCAATGGATCTTGCTCATAGAGAAATGATGGGAGTTGCAGTCCAACAATGTCAATTACCAACGGACCTTGCTCATAGAGGTATGATTGGAGTTGCAGTTCAACAATGTCAACTCTCAATAGACTCTGTTCAAAGAGGACTAATGGGAGTTGCAGTCAAACAATGTTAACTCCCGATGAACATTGCTCATAGAGGAATAATGGGAGTTGCAGTTAAACAACGTCAACTCCCGATTAACATTGTTCATTGAGGAATTATGGGAGTTGCATCCAACAATGTCAATTAACAATGGACTTTGCTCATAGAGGAATGATGGGAGTGGCAGTCCATCAACGTAAATTACCAATGATGGGAGTTGCAGTCCAACACTGTCAACTCCCAGTGGACCTTGCTCATAGATGAATGATGGGAGTTACAGTCCAATAATGTCAACTCCCAGTAGACCCTGCCCATAGAGGAATGATGGGAGTTTCAGTCCAACAATGTCAATTCCCAATGAATCTTGCTCATAGAGAAATGATGGGAGTTGCAGTCCAATAGTGTCAACTCCCAATAGACCCTGCTCATAGAGGAATGATGGGAGTTGCAATCAAACAGTGTCAACTCCCAGTAGACCCTGCCCATAGATGAATGGTAGGAGTTGCAGTCCAATAATGTCAATTCCCAATGGACCTTGCTCATAGAGGAATGATGGGAGTTGAAGTCAACGGTGTCAATTCCCAATGGATCTTGCTTATAGAGAAATGATGGGAGTTGTGGTTCAACAACATAAATTACTAATGGAGCTTGCTCATAGAGGAATGAT